GCGGCTGGTGAGGCCCGAGCGGGGAGGCGGGAGGGGGGAGGGGAGAAGCAGGTGTTCGCTCGGAACGCTGCTCAGTCCTGGCGGGAGGGAAAGCGGTGGGCATTGTGCGCCATACAGGTATCGGGCCCCCGAACCCCACAGCGCGATCCGAACACTCCGTGGTAAGAATGGGTCCTCTCCTCCCGCCGGTTCGATTATTCTGCTGAAACTGGTTGGAAATCTCCGTGCCGGGCATCCCGTTAGGCAGAGGGATGGACAAAGGGTGGAGACGGTCCAGGGCTGCTGAAACACTGTCTCTTCTCTCCGAGCGTGTTGGATGGGAGAGTGGCGAGTAAAACGTAGGTGGAGGGTTTCTTTTTACTTTTATAACGTTTAACTAGTAATGTGCCTTAGACGCATCTCGGAGCTTTTAAAACATTTATCTGGTCTTCGCCGCGCGATTCTGTAGATGTGGGGTAGGATCTGGGCTCGTGTGAGCTTTCCGCGGCCCCTCGTGATTCATTATTTCGTGAGCTGTTAAGTCCCCTCCGTGATTTTGGTGCCCTGTCTCAGGTTGGGGATCGCGATGCTGGGAAGTGGGCACAGATTTACTTGGGAGCATAGAGACAGTGAGTTACAATATAGCTGGGCCTTCGTGTCCTCATCCGGGAAGTGAGGGGGCTTGGACTAGATCAGCTACTCTCTGTTTTGTGTGGTCTTTGCCAGTGGCGGGGGGGGGGGTGTCTCTGGTGGTTTCCCAGTAATTTGTATTGTTTGGGGGGAGGAGGGTGTTTTTTGTTTTGTCTTGAATGTAGAAAAAGATTGTTTCTCAAGTGGGTACGATTGGGAACCCCTTGGCGTACCCCCTGTTCAAGGTCCTGTTCCTAGGGGAGGACACACAGAAAGGAGGATGACAGAGTCCTTGTCTTGTATGAGAAGATGAGTGCGGGAGCCTGTGTTCCAAGGTAGACGTCAATGGAGGCTCAGACAGCAGAATCTAGGGCCTGGGGTCATTTAACATGAGACTTAGGCTCCTTTTTGACCTTGAGATAGAATTCTAGTCGCTCAGTATCAGATATTTATATTACGATTCATCACAGTAGCAACATGACAGTTATGAAGTAGCAACGAAAATAATTTGAGGGTTGGGTCACAACATGAGGATCTGTATTTAAAGGGCCAGAAGGTTGAGAACCACTGCAAGGCTTTCTTGCATCTCCCCCATCTATTCATTTTTATTTGTTTTTTCCTCTGTTTAAGAGGAGAAAGGCGGATTGGTATCTGACGCGTATGGAGAGGACGATTTTTCTCGCCTCGGGGGTGATGAAGATGGCTATGAGGAAGAGGAGGAGGAGAACAGCAAACAATCGGTGAGTAACTCTGTTCCCAAATCCAGAGCCTCTCATAGCACCATCCACTTGTTAGAAACTTTCCCCACTGTTCCAGCAGCGTTCCATCTCACACCTAATTTCATCCCCTCTTCTTCCGCTCTGTTTGGTGTTAATTAAGGAAACTGGGTTGGATATTGGCAGTGCTGTTTGGAAATCAAATTTGTTTTCACCTGGACCATTTTGTATTTACCTTTGAATTTAATATTTGGGGGGAAAGATAGTGAATTATTTTATTTGACCCAGATACCAGTGGGTGTTTTATGTTCGTTTTCCCTGTTTAGATCGTTTATTCCATTTGCAACAGTATAGTTATTCTAATTGGTGTGTCATTTATATCTACAGTCAGCTCTGTATTATTTTTAATCTTGGTTGGGGCTCATTCAAATCTATCCATTTATTCAAAAGACTAGGAAGGAAAATTATTATTATTGTGTGTGTATGATTTACTTCTTAACTTCTTTCTTGACATTTTACTTGGCACTTTTTATTACAGTGCCCGGTTCCTGATCACCAGTCTTGCCTGAAATTTAGTAGGCGTGGTTCACAAAAGAGAACTTGTGTCTTAACGAGAAAGACTTTAGATACAATATCACATAAGCATCACGATCCAGAATTTAAAAGTTTGGGGGGAGAAACAAGGATTCAGATGATGCTTAGCACAAAAACATACTAAGTTGAATGTGGATATTTGACAACAGCTCTAATTGAAACATGCAGTGTACTTTTATCAGGTGTTTGAAGACTTTGCTACCTGTTGAGATTTAAATGCTACCATTAAAAATGCTTTCCAAATTAAGCAAAACTGTACTTTATATTTTATGCTCTTTCGGGAGGTATTTTCATGCCTTTAGCCCCACCATCAATGCTAATAATTCAGAATGGACTGAAACTGGTTAGAAAAGCTTTGCAAGTTAATGTTCTTTCCCTGACTTTTCTTACGTGCAAACATTCTGGCTGTTGTGTAAATCTGCATAGTGTGTTTTGAAGTGTTATTCCACATTTGCTTTGCTTAGGATTTTTATCATATTTAAGCTTTATTTCACATTTTAGTAAAATCCTCTCATCAGATCCCAATATAGACCTTCTAAAATGTGATTGTCTTTGGCTGCGCCACATCTCTGATATTTGGCCTGATTGGATTCATTTTAAGGAGATTGCATTTAAAACCTTTGGCTCGTTTTAAATGCCTTACAGGACAGTGAAATCTCAAACCCATCAGTATAGTTTATTCACGTCTCTCAGGTGATGATTATGTTAACATCTGGACTGCTATTTAATGTGGGGGTTAAAATGTAGCTCGATTGAAAACAGTTTCAAATGACACTTAAGTTTTTCCTGGTGGTAAGTTAACGGTTCCGTGCACTGGGGTGCTCTGGGCAGTGGCGTTATCTGCGGCCTTCGTTAGCATTCAGTGGAATGGTGGGCCTGCTTGTGTGAGGCCAGCGCATGCTTTGGAGAATGATGCTTTGTGTGGAGCAGGCCATTTGGATAAGGAACAAGGCTGGATAGAACAGTAAAGGCAGTTCTGGGGGAACTTGGCTGGAAACGGGGCACACTCACCTGGGACCCAGAAGAGGCTGGGCACTGCTCTTTAGTCATGCCTTTCCCGAGTCACTCACCCTGGGCATTTGACACCTGCCTTCCTAGTGTTCATGTTGGTGCAAATACTGCTGGGTTGAACTGCCCGGGTACAGGTGTGTGGGGGTCACGGCACTCTGGTGGTGAATGACGTCATGGTAGGTCTGAGTCAGATTATTTGTGTATATGAAAAGCAAGGAAACAGCTTGTGTTTCTGGTTTTAAGTGATGGCTGTTTCATTGGAAACAGCGTGCCTTCATCCTGTGGGACCTGGCCCTATTCTTTTCTGAAGCATCTTGTGGCCTTGCCTCCACTCTTCTGTTGGCGATTTTTCATCTCAGGCATTTTCATTCGTGTAGACAGTGGTCCTGCTGGAGTATCTACTGTGAGCCGCTGGTGTTCTTCCTCCTCCCGTTCTGGGTCATATGGTAGGGGAGGGGTCTTGGTGGGATGACCCAGGCTGAGTGAGTTTGCTGCAACCCCTAGTTGTGCATATGTGAACCCTCAGGCCCGCTCCTTTAAGCTTAATCCTCTAAATTCTTTGTCTTGTAGGAAGATGACGATTCAGAGACTGAAAAACCTGAGGCTGATGACCCAAAGGTACTTGGTGTTGGCTGTGGTGGGTGGCTGGATGCAAATAAGGCATTTTAACATTGTGGCTCAGTTCATATGTCTGGTCAAGGTCTGTCCCACTGACACACTGCAACCATGTGTAAATGTTCTGGGATGAAACAGTTTCATGGAGAAACCTGGAGGCCACTCTGGAAGGAGTAAGTCCCGGAGCAGCCTGGACCTCTGGCCTTGTAGGTAGTGCCAGATCTCCACTAGAGAGCCCGGAGGCCTGGCTGAGCGCACAGCCGCCCTGTGCTCCGTCCGGTGTGCTTTGTGGGTCACTGCTCCCGCAGGGGGTTAGATTTGGGAATGTTTCCAGAATCAGGAAGCATGAAGGGCCACCTTGTATACTCTGGGTTCTCTTCAGTTGTCTAGACGTGAAGAAGGGCCTGAGAGGGTGAGACAGAATGAGGCCTCTCCCTGCTGTTGGGGATGCTTTGTTTCCCAGGCTTGTGCCCTTCCACTCTAGGGTAAACCATACAGAATGGTCTCTCGAAACAACACAGTTTTTTCTTATAGTTCCATCCAAGTAGCAGCTGAGAGGAATCATCACACTCCTTGACTATCGTGATAAAGGTGAAGAACCCTGACTTGTGTCGAGTAGGTTTGCCCTATTGTGAGCTGAGCATCGGTGCAAGTGTTCCTGTCAGGGAAACATTCTTTAGGGACAAACTCCCCCCCAAAGAGAAAGGCTGATTCCATCACTCTGGGGCTGGGGAATAGGGACCAAATTTTGTGATTAAAAACTGCTTTAAACCAGCTGAGGCTGGCACAGTCCCCCTCCAAGAGCATGCCCATCCCTTTCTTTCCCCGTAGGCCTGCATCTCCTAAGCTCTGAGGTCCCCACGAGACTTGGAACCAGGGGAACAATGGGCAGTGTCACCTTGTCCCAGGCTAACCTGAATCTGTCTCCAAGGCCCCCTTTCCCCAGAGCAGCCCCGCCTGGGCTCTCCTGTTGCTGCTTCTATCCTAAGCCCCTCCTTGCTTCCCTGTCTCTGGCTTTAATAAATGAACTCTCAAATACAAAAAACAAAAGCCCAGCTGAGGCCTTTAAGGTGACTTAGTGGAATTTGGGAAAATTATACCCAATTAGGATCTAAAGTAGCATATTTGGAAATATAGCATCAGTTCCAAATTTGAACTGATTTGTGTGATTGG